AAAACCACATTGTTTCCTTCAACTATTTTTAAAAAAGAAAAAAAAACAACAACAACAAAGCACAAGTTTAAAAACTTCAAGCGTTTTTGGGGACATTGAACCGAGATCTATATCTTTATATAAAACCTAGGTCAATTCACGTGGGAACCACATTCACTGAGGTTACTGGCGGGCCAATTTCCTAGCTAAAATTATTGTCACCTTCCCTGTTATACTGGGTACTTTTATTCCAGAAATATTCTGGGTTGCTCCAGGGAGGCTAGAGTTTAGGATTTATTTATTTTTTTATTTTATTTTAATTTGATTTATATGCCGCCCTTCTCCGGAGACTCAGGGCGGCTTACAGTGCGTTAAGCAATAGCCTTCATACTTTTGTATATTTATACAAAGTCAGCTTATTGCCCCCACAATCCGGATCCTCATTTTACCTACCTTAGAAAGGATGGAAGGCTGAGTCAACCTTGAGCCTGGGGAGATTCGAACTTGCAATAATTGCAGGCAGCTGAATGTTAATAACAAGCTATTAGTCTGCTGCGCCACCAGGCTCCTCTACGTGCAGCTACCGTGTTCCCCCCAAAATAAGACATCCCCTGACAATAAGCCCAATCGGGCTTTTGAGCACAAGCGCTAAAATAAGCTCCTCCCCCCAAAATAAGCCCTCCCCGAAAATATTTAAACGCATGCGCAGCCATTCCCCGCCATTTCCTCTGGTTAGGGTTAGGGAGACAGAGCTGGAAACCAGGTAAGATGGCAAGAGGAGCCCCGTCTTATTCCACGCAGCCCAAAATAATAAGACCTCCCCGAAAATAAGGCCAAGCGCTTATTTCGGGGTTCAAAAAAATATAAGACAGGGTCTTATTTTGGGGAAAACACGGTAGCTAGTGGTGTTCCTTGTTGGACAGAGAACAGAATGTTTTGAAAGGTGGTGGCCTCGCCATGGGGATTGTTATTAGATGTCCATGTGAGTTAGTCTTTCCCAACTGGCCAACTTTCAGAATTGTGGATTTCAACTCCCAGAATTCCTCAGCCAAGATGTCGCTTGTCGAGAATCCCTTCATTCCGCTTGATTGTCACTGAACGAATGGTGGAATGCAGGGGTGGGTTCTAAATTTTTTTACTACCGGTTCTGTGGGCGTGGCTTATTTTGTGGGTGTGGCTTGGAGGTCATGTGACTAGGTGGACGTGGCTAGCTGGTCAGAGTCATTTCTGGAAGGTCCTCGCACTTACGACCAGTCCTCGCACTTACGACCCAACTCATTTGTTTGCTTTTAACACTGATCAGGTGTAGGACGGCCCTTTGAAGCCCCGCGGCAAGAGTTTAAACAGTTTTTTTCCCTCTAGTCATCAGCTGGGACTCAGGAGGCAGCAATAGATTGGGAGTGGGATCAAATAAAAGGTAAGAATAACGTGGGGGGGTGGGAGGGCGGAGGGGGGAACCGGTTCGGTGACGTCATATCGTCACCGCTACTGGCTTGGCCGAACCGGACCGAACCGGGAGGAACCCACCACTGGTGGAATGTTTGCGGAGATACTCAATCATCCCAGATCATGGTTTCCTGAAAGATGCTTTTCCAAAAGGCAACTGGACTTTCTTGGGTTGTTCTTTGAAAACATTTCCCTTCTCATCCAGGAAGCTTCTTCCGTTCTAATCTCAGTTCTTCATTTCTCAAATTCTACAGTTAGAACTGCTCGGATGAGGGGTGAAACGTTTTGAAAGAAAAAAGAAAAAAAACAAACAAACAAGAAAGTCCAGCTGCCTTTTGGAAAAGCATTTTTAGATGAATGAATAGCCAATACTCAAGGGCTACCTGTAGCTCTTTCCATTTCAAAACAATTTCAAAATTAGGAAATTATCTTGAAATGGAAAAAAGTTACAAGCAAACCTTGAGGGAGGAATTGACCCAAGACCCCAACTGAGCCAAAACTTCTGTTCTTAAGTGAGACATTTGTTAAGTGAGCTTTGCCCCATCCTACGACCTTTTTTTGCCACCATTTCATTTATTTCATTTCATTTATTGGATTTGTATACTGCCCTACTCCCGAAGAACTCAGGGCGGTGAACAGCCACAGAATAAAACACATAAATACAAAATTTAAAAACAGAATAAAACCGAATTAAACTATTTGGCCGAGACAAATTTAAAACACCCAATAATTTAAAAAACAAATTAAAATTTACATTTTAAAGGGGAAAGATTTAGGCCAGGCCAGCTTGATGGAATAAAAAAGTCTTGAGAGCGCGACGGAAGGTGCGCAGATCTGGGATCCTCCCTATCTCTGGGGGGAGCTCATTCCAGATCGTAGGTGCCCCCACAGAGAAGGCTCTCCCCCTGGGGGCCGCCAGTCGACATTGTTTGGCCAACGGCACCCAGAGGAGCCCCTCTCTATGAGAGTGTACCGGCCGGTGGGAGGCTATTGGTGGTAGCAGGCAGTCCCGTAAATAACCATTGTTAAGCGAATCACTGCAGCTGATAAGTTACTAACTCAGTTGTTCTATGAAAGTGGCTTCCCCATTGACTGGCACAATACGACTCTTCTGCATATTTTAAGGCTTTCTCACAACTGCCCTGAGTCTTCAGAGAGGGGCGGCATACAAATTGAATTAATAAAATTAATTAATTAATTAATTAATTAATTAATTAATAATAAATAAAACTGACTTAACTAACGTGCCATCAATTTAGGTGTTGATTTTTAGCAATTGCACCCAGAGACCTTCTTCAGGATAAGCTGCTTCCAACCTGCCCTTCAGGAACCCACCCAGAGCAGATGATGGAATCCATCATCCTTTTCGGCCTTTTTTGACTGACGGGAAAGGTTATGTTAACCTGACATTTGGAACTTAAAGACTTTAAGGAAGAACAGCAAATTCTTCCTTGCCTGCTTACGTTTCCTTTCTCCTGAGCGATAAGGCAGACATTCAAAGCTGCTGAACATAAACAGAAGATAAGAACGGGGCCAAATTAGTTCCGGTGTTTGTTCCCTCTTATTGAGGGCTTCAGGTCTTGAGTTAATAGCTTCGGATTTTTTTTAATTTGCTACTCTAAAAAAGAAAAGAAAAAATCCGCTTGGCATACAGTTCTTTAGTCCCTTTAGACATAATTCCAGTAAAGCAGGGGTAAAGGTAATCCTTGATTTACAACAGCTTGTTTAGTAACCGCTAAAAGTTACAAAGGAAATTTTTAAAAAGTGATTTATGAACCTTTTTTCACACCTACAACTATTGCATCCCCTTAGTCATGTGACTAAAATTCAGGTGCTTGGCAACTTTATTTATTTATTTATGATGGTTGCAATGTCCTGGGGAGGGGGGAAGGGTGTCATGTGATTTCCTTTTGTGACCTTCTGACCAGCAAATTCACTTTGCAACCATGTTATTATTAGTAAAATGTGGGACACAGATCTGGGGACAGACTACTCTTAAAACAGCCCATGAAATGACCTTCAAGCTTTAGCTTGGCTGATCCTCCATGGATTTTTGCTTGATGTCTCGGACTTTATATGCTCCACAATCAGGTACCAGAAGAAGCTGAAATAGCCTCAATGCAGTGGTGAAATCCATTTTTTTTTTTTTACCACCGGTTCTGTGGGTGTGGCTTGGTGGGCGTGGCTTGGTGGGCATGGCAGAGGAAGGATACTGCAAAATCCCCATTCCCACTCCACTCTGGGGCCAGCCAGAGGTGGTATTTGCCAGTTCTCCGAACTACTCAAAATTTCCGCTACCAGTTCTCCGAACTACTCAATTTATTTTATTTATTTTTTTTATTTGATTTATATGCCGCCCTTCTCCAGAGACTCAGGGCGGCTTACAATGCGCTAAGCAATAGCCTTCATTCTTTTGTATATTTATACAAAGTCAGCTTATTGCCCCCACAACTGGGTCCTCAATTTACCTACCTTAGAAAGGATGGAAGGCTGAGTCAACCTTGAGCCTTGGCGAGATTCGAACCTGCAGGAATTGCAGGCATCTGGTCTTAATAACCAGCTTAATAACAGGGTGCCTTAGACCACTGTACTACCTAGGCTCTTGGTAGAAAATTTCCGCTACCGGTTCTCCAAACTGCTCAAACTTTCCGCTACCGGTTCTCCAGAACCTGTCAGAACCTGCTGGATTTCACCCCTGCTTCAATGTTTGCTAAAATGCCATCTGCATAATTTTCTTCACACAAGGATGTCGCAATGGCTTCAAGTGCCCCCCCTTGGCACTCTACAATCTTGGAATTCAGATGAAAACTGTGTTACTCAACCTTGAAAAGTTTAAGATGTGTGGACTTCAACTCCCAGAATTCCCCAGCCAGCCATGCTGGCTGGGGAATTCTGGGAGTTGAAATCCACACATCTTAAACTTGCCAAAGTTGAGAAAAACAGGACAAACCGATCTAACACGTTTGCAAACATTTCTGAAAAGTGTCTTTCCTAGCAAGCAAAAGCCCACCAAGGCACATTCCTTCCCTGTTTCCCCGAAAATAAGACATCCCCTGATAATAAACCCAATTGGGCTTTTGAGCACATGCGCTAAAATAAATCCTCCCCTGAAAATAAGCCCTCCCCAAAATATTTAAACGCACGTACAGCTGGTCCCCGCCATTTCCTCTGGTTTCCTCCATGTGCCCCAAAATAATAAGACCACCCCGAAAATAAGGCCAAGCGTTTATTTCAGGGTTCAAAAAAATATAAGACAGGGTCCTATTTTTGGGGAAACACGATACATTATAAAATATGCTAAAAGCTCTTGTCATCCAGCTTCCAGAGTATATCATCCCATGGTCCACAGCATGGAAATTTTGCTGAGGATCTAGCATCCATTCATCTGGAGATGGTAGATAGGAATGCATACGTGTTTAAGGGTGAAGAATCAGCCTGGACAATTTTCTGAGAAACCCTAAAGAATTCCGTCTATCGTAATCAGAAACATTCTTTGAAGCTTTTTCCGTCTTTCAAGTATACCAGGGGCTTAAGTGCTAATTACAACTCTCTGAACGAAATGCAAACATACTCACCGATCGATGGTTCTTGACAATATCACTGACAAAGTCAGGAGAATGCAGCCGTAGGGACCAGCCTCAAACTGAAAAGGCAGAACAAGGGGAAGGTGGAACGAGAAAATATGGAGTCATGGCTAAAATAGAGAGTTTCCCAAGCGAAGCATTCATGATTGAACCAAAAAAAAGAAAAAATGTGTGCATTGGTTGTTCATAGTTTCTGGAATATTTTAGATGTTTCAGATATTTAGAGAGGCAGTTTGGTCTAGTGGTTAAGGCACCAGGCTGGAAATCAGGAGATGGTGAGTTCTAGTCCCACCTTAGGCATGAAAGCCAGCTGGGTGACTTTGAGCCAATCACCAGGAGATGGTGAGTTCTAGTCCAACCTTAGGCATGAAAGCTGGCTGGGAGACTTTGGACCAATTACCAGGAGACAGAGAATTCTAGTCCAGCCTTAGGCATGAAAGCCAGCTGGATGACTTCAGCATAATCATCAGGAGGCACTGAATTCTAATCCCACCTTAGGCATGGTTGTAATTTATGACATTTATGACTTTAGACACTTATGTCTAAATAGGGTCATCTTTGGGACCAGCCTGATTTTACAATCTTTTTGTAGTACTCGTTAATAGAAAGCCACGGTTGTTAAGCAAATCAATAGTTCATTTTAGGTACAGTTGTTGGTTTTCAGCAAAACTGTTGTAAAATGAGGTCATGTTGACTGCAGGATGCTACAAACAGCCACAAGTATGGCCTGGTTGTTGTGCCTGAGTTGTGGTCACATAACAGCAATTGTGTGTGTGTGTGATTATCAGAACTTCGAATCCAGGTCCTAAGTACTTCCAGGAAAGTCCATTGCAACCAGGGGTGAAATGCTCCCGGTTCAGACCGGATCGCCTGATCCGGTAGCGATGGAGGCGGATGGTTCGGAGAACCGGTAGCAAAAATCCCTGCGCCCCCCCACCACCACCACGCCCAGCTGAACCGCACAGTCATCAGAGGCTTTTTTTTCTTTTAAATGCCTCTGACGATCAGGCAACTCAGCGCCTTTTGAAAGCGTTTTTTTACAACCTCTTTGCCGAAGAGGTTGTAGAAAAAATGGTTTTAAAAGTTAAAAAAAAAAAAGTTGGCCATGCCCACCTAATCACATTACCCCCCCCCAACAAGCCACGCCCACAGAACCGGTAGTAATAAATTTTAGATTTCACCACTGGTCGCAACGTCGAACAGTTGCTAAGCAACTGGTCCTAAGTCAAGAACTACCAGTTCAACATATTCAATGAGAATGCTGTGGTTTTATTCTTTATTTTTCAACACTATTCAGAAATGAGATGATTGCTGTTCATTTGCAAGGGGTTCCTTAACTTACAACAGTTCGTTTAGTGTCCATTCAAAGTTACAACATCCCTGGAAAAAAAACTATTTTTCACACTTACGACTGTTGCAGCATCGCTGGGGACATGTGATCAAAACTCAGGAGCTTTGCGACTGGTTCATATTTATGACGATGGCTATGTCCCTTTTTTGTGACTTCTGACTAGCAAAGTCCATGGGGAAGCTGGATTCGCTTAACAACCATGTTACTCCTTTAACAACTGGGAGGGATTCACTTGGCAAAACTCACTTAAACAACTGTCTTGCTTAGGTAGACAAGAAAGTTTGGGCTCAATTGTGATTGTATTTTTGAGGACAACTTGTATCTTTGCACTTGTCAGCTTGTCTGTTTTTTGTGCTGAAGCCGAAGCCTGCCTAACTTTGCTCTCTACTTTTTAAAAGCAAATAAGGAGGTTGGCTCATAAGAAATGGCAATCACAATGGCACAAGCACAGTCCAGCCTCTTTCTGACCTACATCGGGAGCCAACGGGGAAATCTCCCCCCCCTCACCCGCCCCCACTCCTAATTAGCCTGCCCTTCCTTAATTTTCAAACCAAAATAAGATCGGCGAATGCGGTTCAGATCAGGAAAAGCCATTAAAAGCTAATTCATCCTGTTCCACAAACATCGTTCTTTAAGTACCACTCGAAACAATTTCTCAGTTAGGGGGAAAAAAGACTTTTTTTTAAAAAAAAAAGAAAAGGCTATAGAAACTTTAGAAGGATATTTTTGATGAAGAAAAAGATTGGTTTCGTGATTTATGGATTTGGAAATTTAAAAAAAAAAGTTTCTGGGGGAAATGGAAAAAATTAGATGTCAACTGTTGGGGTCTGTTATTACGTTATTTGGCAGAATGAAGGGAGGAAGGCATAATTTTGTTTTTTTTTCCCCCTTCTTTTTCCACTTCTTTCCACTTTCCTGGCCTCTTCGTTTGTCTTAGTTTTTATTATTTTATACTATTTATTGTATTGAAAGATATGCGTATGTATATGTATTGCTGTATATGCCTGGAGTAGCTCAGAGTAACCCCATGGCAAGATAGACAGCAAATAAATTTAACAAATTCTGTTTTGTTTTGTTTGTTTGTATAGGTGTGTATTAGGTCATGCATCATGGGATGTTCCGGCCATTTTATTACGAAAAGGCACTTTCAATTCATGGTAAAAATTCTGGAGGACCAACAGGAAGAATTTCAGCCATTCTTCTAAGCTATCCTACCTCACAGGGTTATTGTGAGGAAAAATAGGAGGGAGGGATCACTAGTGTGCCAGCTGCACATAAATCTAACAAAACTGCAGTTTTATTTATTACATTCCAATTCCTTGGCATTCTGGGCTGACATTTAGGACTTAATCCTTTTATTTTACTACCTATCTGAGCCAGTCTGGTATAAACAATGAGAAAGTGAGTTCTAGTCTCACTTTAGGCATGAAAGCTGGTTGGGTGACTTTGGGCCAATCACCAGGAGACGGTGAGTTTTAGTCCTGCCCAGGGCAAGAAAGCTGATTGGATGACTTTGGCCAATCACGAGGGGGCAGTGAGTTCTAGTCCCATTTTAGGCATGAAAGCTGGTTGGGTGACTTTGGGCCAATCACCAGGAGACAATGAGTTCTAGTCTCACTTTAGGCATGAAAGCTGGTTGGGTGACTTTGGGCCAATCACCAGGAGACGGTGAGTTTTAGTCCTGTCCAGGGCAAGAAAGCTGATTGGGTGACTTTGGGCCAATCACGAGGGGACAGTGAGTTATAGTCCCGCTTTAGGCATGAAAGCTGGTTGGGTGACTTTGGGCCAATCACCAGGAGACGGTGAGTTCTAGTCCTGTCCTGGGCATGAAAGCTGGTTGGGTGACTTTGGCCCAATCACCAGGAGACGGTGCGTTTTAGTCCTGTCCAGGGCAAGAAAGATGATTGGGTGACTTAGGGCCAATCACGAGGGGGCAGTGAGTTCTAGTCTCACTTTAGGCATGAAAGCTGGTTGGGTGACTTTGGGCCAATCACCAGGAGACAATGAGTTCTAGTCTCACTTTAGGCATGAAAGCTGGTTGGGTGACTTTGGGCCAATCACCAGGAGACTGTAAGTTCTAGTCTCGCAGGACATGAAAGCTGGTTGGGTGACTTTGGGCCAATCACCAGGAGACGGTGAGTTTTAGTCCTGTCCAGGGCATGAAAGCTGGTTGGGTGACTTTGGGCCAATCACCAGGAGACGGTGAGTTTTAGTCCTGTCCAGGGCAAGAAAGCTGATTGGGTGACTTTGGGCCAATCACGAGGGGGCAGTGAGTTCTAGTCCCACCTTAGGCATGAAAGCTGGTTGGGTGACTTTGAGCCAATCACCAGATGGTGAGTTCTAGTGCTGTTTTAGCATGTAAATTGGCTGGGTGGCTTTGGGCCAATCACCAGCAGATTATGAGTTCTACTCTCGCCTTAGGCGTGAAAGTGGGCTGGGTGACCATAAGCCAGTCATTCCCTCTCAGGTCAACCTACCTCACAGGATTGTTGTTGCACAGAAAGGAGGAGGAAGGAGATAGGTGTGTCACCTTGAGTTATTTATGAAGTACACGTCGCCCTTGCTTAACAGCTACTCTCTTAGTGAATGTTCAAAGTTACAATGACCCCACCCACAAAAGAGATTTGTGACTCAGTTCTGGAGTTATGATGTACACACACACACCCAATCCTTGGTCAGATGACCACATATTGGACTCTGGGTAACCAGCTCACTTTTATCATCGTTCCTCAGTAACATCACAGTAATTTATTATTGTTATTATTATTATTATTGGCCAGTTTTTGGCCTTTTCATTTACTTTCCAATTTAAAAAAAAACAATAGCCATAGGAATGAATGGATTCGCTTTACAACCACTGATTTCACAGCCAAAACAAGTTGCAAATGGGGTTAGTCGCGTGGGTGCCTTGGCTTATGACCATTCCTTTTTTTAAAAAAAAATTGATTTATATGCCGCCCTTCTCCGGAAACTCAGGGCGGCTTACAGTGCGTTAAGCAATAGCCTTCATTCTTTTGTATATTTATACAAAGTCAGCTTATTGCCCCCCACAAACTGGGTCCTCAATTTACCTACCTTAGAAAGGATGGAAGGCTGAGTCAACCTTGAGCCTTGGCGAGATTCAAACTTACTTTAATTGCAGACAGCTGGTGTTAAATTGCAGTGCCTTGTCTGCAGAGCTATCCAGGCTTCCTGACTTATGACAGAAATTCTAGGCTCCGTTACATTACCTAATGCTAAATCTTACCTGTAATAAAGACAAGATTTTTTTTTTTTTAAAAAAATCTGAATAAAATAAAGTAAGCTGGAGGGCAGTTAAAAGCTGCATCCTAAGCCTCACTGGTGTGTCTTTCCATGGCAGTAGTGCAAGCAAAAATGGAAATAAGTGTAATTTGAGGGCCCTGCCCAGAACTGACTGCTTCCCTTCCCAGCTTCATACCTGATGGATATTATGTTGTAGGAACATCAGCAGATCTTCGTAGGTTGTGAAAAAGTGCAACAGAAGCTGCAACGAAGCGAGAAAAAAAAAAAAAGGAAAATGAGACTCAGGTGAATACAAAATACTGATATCTGGGCGACCAATCACGCAAATGACACACTTTTGAAGCAAAAGTCTCAATTCTGCTGGGTTGGAAGAGAAACTTGGGAATTCTGGGAGTTGAAGTCCAGCTATCTTAAAGGGGGTCAAAACTGGCATGTTCACTGAATTACAATTGCACATATTGCAAACCAGTTTCCTGAATCCCGGAGGGCAGTGACTTTTTTTTCCTCATTAGTATTCAGATAGATAGATAGATAGATAGATAGATAGATAGATAGATAGATATAGATATAGATATAGATATATATGTTTTTCTTCTAGCCAGGTATATACATATACATATACATATACATATACATATACATATACATATACATATATATATATATATATATATATATATATATATATATTAAAATAAATGAAACAGCCACTTCACTCTGGCAGTGTCTGCTTACTTAGGCTTCCCCGTCTGTCAGAGCCACCTGGACTTTGGATAACATCCAGCAGTAAAGAGAAGCAAAAATTCAAAGTATCTGAAAGCTTTTTTTTTTTTTTTTGAAAACTGGGATGAAGGGAAACAGGGTGCGTTTCTCAATTTGCCTGGTGGAATTGTGTGCTTCACGCACGTACCAACTCCAAAACGCCAGTCCCAAAGGGTTTAAGTTACTAAGAGGATAAGCCTAAAGATTTATTTATGCTTATCTGGTTTCTCACCGACTTCCAGACACTGAATATATCTTTTTCATTTACTTTGTCTCTCTTTCTCTCCCTCTCCCTCTTTTCTTTCTTTCTTTCTTTCTTTCTTTCTTTCTTTCTTTCTTTCTCTTTCTCCCTCTTTCTCTCTCCTCCCCCTCTCTTTCCCTTCCTCTTTCTCTCTCTCTCTTTTACTCCCTCCCCTCCTTTCTCTCTTTCTCCTTCTCTCCCCCTCTCCGCCTCCCTCTTTTTCTCTCCCTCTGTCTCTCTCCCTCCCTCTGTCTTTCTCTCTCTCCCCTCCCCTTCCTGCTCTCTCTCTCCCCCCTCCTCTCTCTCTTTCTCTTTATTTCTTTCTCTCTCTCTCTTTCTATCACTGTCTCAGTGGGGGCCAGAATAATGTCTTCCTTTGATAAATCTTCAAGTCTTCCTTAAGATTTAAAGCAGCCTCAGTGACATCCCATAGGTTGGAAAACATTTGTTCAAATTTGGATATAGTATAAAAATATAATCATTATACCTCTACCAAGGAGGGAAGGAATGGAATGGAATGGAATGGAATGGAATGGAATGGAGGGAGGGAGGGGGGGAGGGAGGGAGGAAGGAAGGAAGGAAGGAGAAGATAAGGAAGACACAGAGAGAAAGAGAGGGAGAGGCAGGAAGGGAAGGGAAGGGAAGGGAAAAAAAGAGGAAGGGAAGGGAAGGGAAGGAAAGGAAAAGAAAAAATAAGAAAGGAAGGGAAGGAATGGAAAGGAGAGGAGAGGAGAGGAGAGGGGAGGGGAGGAGAGGGGGAAGGGAAAGGAAAAGAAAGGAAAGGAAAGGAAAAGAAAAGAAAAGAAAGGAAAGGAAAGGAAAGGAAAGGAAAGGAAAGGAAAGGAAAGGAAAGGAAAGGAAAGGAAAGGAAAGGAAGCAGAGGGGAGCAGTTGATGATGAAGAGAAATACAGGGGAAAGGCAGGCAGGCAGGGAGGGAGGGAGGGAGGAAGAAGTCTAAATGAAAATGTACCATTTCTAAGATCCCATCTGGCTTATATTTTCCCGCAGGCATGAACTGCTGTGTTCCTGTAGTCCTGAAAAGGTCAGGAAAACAAAACATTCTGATTTTCTTGAATGCAATAACTTGTGGGTGATTCAGCAGACCTAGTTAGTGTACTCTTGCTATTTTGAAGTTTTCACTATTTTCATTTTTCCTGAGGGTTGGATGATAGGATTTGCAGTTTAATATGAGCTCCCATCCCCCCTTGCCCCTCCAAAACTTTCAGGCGACTTTGATGAACACAGTATGAAGTTAGTATTGCTCAGCTACAGGGCACACGTGTGTGTGGATGTGTGTGTGGGTGTGGGTGTGAGAGAGAGGAAGTGGGGGTAGACAGTGGTGGGTTTCAAAAAAATTTACTACCAGTTCTGTGGGCGTGGCTTGGTGGGCGTGGCATGGCTTGGTGGGCATGGCTTGGTGGGCGTGGCAAGGGAAGGATACTGCAAAATCCCCATTCCCTCCCCAATCCAGGGGAAGGATATTGTAAAACCCCCATTCCCTCCCAATCCAGGGGAAGGATACTGCAAAATTCCCACCCCACTCCAGGGGAAGGATACTGCAAAATCCCCATTCCCTCCCCACTCCAGGGGAAGGATACTGCAAAATCCCCATTCCCTCCCCAATCCAGGGGAAGGATACTGTAAAATCCCCATTCCCTCCCCACTCCAGGGGAAGGATACTGCAAAATCCCCATTCCCTCCCCACTCCAGGGGAAGGATACTGTAAAACCCCCATTCCCTCCCCAATCCAGGGGAAGGTTGTTGCAAAATCCCCATTTCCTCCCGATCAGGTGGGACTCGGGAGGCAGAGAATAGATGGGGGCGGGGCCAGTCAGAATTTTTACTATCGGTTCTCCGAACTACTCAAAATTTCCGCTACCGGTTCTCCAGAACTGGTTAGAACCTGCTGAAACCCCACCTCTGGGGGTAGAGCATCAATAGCAAAGGGAGGGGTTTTTTTGTCTTGTTGCCCAGGGTCAAACTGTCCAAATTAAACTGAATGGGCAGGCTGGAACATATACGTTCGTAATATATAACCAATTTGTTTAGTGACCGTTCAGACTGGAAAAAATCTGATTTATGACTATTGCAGCATCCCCATGGTCAAGTGATCAAAATTGGCAACTGGCATGTACTTATGACTGTTGCCGTGTCCCGTGTGTGTGTGTGTGTGTGTCACGTGATCTCCTTTCGCGACCTTCTGACAAGCAAAGTCAACAGGAGAAGCCGGATTCACTTTAACAACCCTCTGACTAACTTAAGTGGCTCACTTAACAACGGGGGGCAAGAAAAGTCATAAAAATGGGGCGAAACCCACTCAATTCCACACTCAGCAACGTGGGCTGAACAGTGGTCGTAAGTTGAGGACTAGTGGAGCTCCTTGATGAATGAGGGTGGAGCCTGCAATTATTTTGGGGTGGGGGAGTGGGGGTCTTCTTCAATTCCAAGGTCTCCCATCGGAGAAGGTGAAAATAAGATTAGGCGGGAGAGAGGGCAGGAAGAGGTTTCGTGGACATTATGATAGATTTATTTATTTTAAATTTATTTTAAAATTTTATTTTAAAAAAAGATGTACCTCTCACTTACAAAGTCAACACCACTTTCTCGTTGCCACCTGCACGCCATAAAATACCAGCAAGAGCCAGAATGAGGCACTGGATCCTGTCGGGGTCAGACGGCCGAAGGCACCTGCAGGTTATAGAGAAAAAGAGAGATACGCTCATCAAGGAACTTTCCCGAACGCCATCACTCTGCTAAACAAATAATTCCCTCAACACTCTCAAACTATTTACTAAGTCTGCACTACTATTAATCTTCTCATCGTTCCCATCATCCATCTCCTCCCACTTTTTTTTTTTTTTTTAATTTGATTTATATGCCGCCCTTCTCCGGAGACTCAGGGCGGCTTACAATGCGTTAAGCGATAGCCTTCATTCTTTTGTATGTTTTATACAAAGTCAGCTTATTGTCCCCACAAACTGGGTCCTCATTTCACCTACCTTAGAAAGGATGGAAGGCTGAGTCAACCTTGAGCCTTGGAGAGATTCGAACCAGCAGAAATTGCAGGCAGCTGTGTTAATTACAGGGTGCACTAAACCCCTGTACTATCAAGGCTCACTTATGACTGTATGACTGTAACCTTGTTGCTGGTATCCTTAAGATTTATATTGATATTGTTTCCTGATTGCTTACTTGTACCCTATGACTGTCATTAAGTGTTGTACCTTATGATTCTTGATGAACGTATCTTTTCTTTTATGTACACTGAGAGCGTATGCACCAAAGACAAATTCCTTGTGTGTCCAATCACACTTGGCCAATAAAGAATTCTATTCTATTCTATTCTATTCTATTCTATTCTATTCTATTCTATTCTATTCTATTCTATTCTATTCTATTCTATTCCAAGAAGAAAACAAAACTTCCTCCAACACTATAATATAAACAGAGAATAGAATAGAATAGAGTAGAATAGAATATAGAGTAGAGTAGAATATAGAATAGAGTAGAACAGAATATAGAATAGAATAGAATAGAATAGAATAGAATAGAATAGAATAGAATAGAATAGAATAGGAGTAGAGTAGAGTAGAATAGAATAGAATGTAGAGTAGAGTAGAGTAGAGTAGAGTAGAATATAGAGTAGAATAGAATAGAATACAGAGTAGAGTAGAGTAGAGTAGAACAGAACAGAACAGAATAGAAAAGTTGGAAGGGACCTTGGAGGTCTTCTAGTCCAACCTCCTACCCAGGCAGGAGACCCTTACACCACTTCAGACAAATGGTTATTAACATCTTCTTAAAAATTGGAGCATTCACAACTTCTGAAGGCAAGTTGTTCCACTTATTAATTGTTGTAACTGTCAGGAAATTTCTGACAGTTAGAAATAAACCTCATTCTCTTCTAGCACTGATGATGTTACCTAGTTGGGTCATGAAATGTGTGCAAGGAAACAGCCAAGCTCAGAGAGTACCAAGGACCCCCCAGTCTTCCTCCTCCTCCTCCTCTTCCTCCCCCCCCCACACTCTCCCTTCTAGCACTGATGATGTTACCTAGTTTGGTCATGAAACAACTGCAAGAAAACCGCCAAGCTCAGAGAGCATCAAAGACCCCACAGTCTTCTTATTCCTCCTCTTCCTCCTCTTCTTTAGGTGTTAGAATTAGAATTGGGATTAGGTTAAAGTTAGAGATTAGACTTGTGGTTAAGGCTAGGTTATGGTTAATGTTTAGGTGCTAGGGTTAGGAGATTAAGGTTAAGGGTTAGGGGGTTAGAGTTAGGGATTACGGTTACGGTGTTGGGTGTTACAAGTTAGGATTGGGGTTAGGGGTTAGGGTTGTGGTTAAATTATGGTTAATATTTGGGGGTTAGGGTTATGAGGGTTAAGAGGTTAAGTTTAAGGGTTAGGGTGTATTAGTACGGTACCACCAAAACAGATCTCCGAGACAGATGTTGCCTCAGACGCTGAGGTGAACATCAAACCCACCCCCCATGACCATATTATACTCCCCCTTTCCCTGAGATTCCTTTCAGTTGGAAGTTATCCTTCGAATTCATCCCAGCTCTGCCTTCTGCAAAACGCAACCAGAGAATGTTCTGTCCCCGTCTCACACACGCACACAAACAGATAGCCAGGGGTTAAATAAAACTGGCAGACAACAAATTCTTTCGATAAGAGGATTGGCAGCAACCCAGTAGCTGCTTGCCAAGAACTTTACTCATAAACAAGATACACACAGTTCAAGAATTGTCAAGTCCAGTCCGTATTAAATCCAAGGCAGATAACGTTGTTTCAAAGATACAATGTGACTCGCTAGTAGTTAGATTTGTCAGTCACAGAGTCTGAATCACCACCTCACCCCCTTTTATCCCCTGTGGGGTGTGGTCCAGTGACTCAGCTTAATCTCTGGCACGCCTCCTTTTCTGCTGCGTGTGCTTGTCTCTCCGACGCTGGCGTGGATCCAGCCAAGACTTATCTCCATCACTGTCTGACTGCGAGGAGATACCTGGCTCCTGGCCAATCTCTTCTCCTTCGGGAGACACCTGAGGCATTGCCAGAGAGGAGGGTCCTGGAGAGGGAGGCCTGGCCAACTCCTCTCCTTCATGTTCGGAGCTTTCTCCCTCTGATAAATCGGCCTCGGGGGTCGGAGTCACAAAAGAGAACAAGGTTTCATCCCAGGGGTGATATGCTCCCGGTAGCGATGACGGTGGGTGGTTGGGGGAACCGGTAGCAAAAATCCCTGCCCCATCCTCAATGCCCAGCTGAGCCGCATGATCATCAGAGGCTTTTTTTTTTTACTTTTAAAAGCATTTTTCATTGGCCTCTGATGATCGCGCCACTCAGCTGGGATCGTCAGAGCCAAAGAGGTTGTAGAAAAAATACTTTTAAAAGTAAAAAAAAAAAAGTTGGCAACGCCCACCCAGTCACATTATCACCACCAAGCCACGCCCACAGAACCAGTAGTAACAAATTTTACATTTTACCACTGTTTCACCCAGACAATTTACCTCTATTCCTACCCTCCCTCTCTGTCATCCTTGGCTGTACAGAGTCCATAGAATCAAAATCACGTGACGTATTAGCACCACTTGATGAATCCTTAGTAAGGCCACACCTGGAAATACTGCATCCAGTTTTGGTCACCATATTACAAAAAAAAAAAAAAAAGATGTTGAGACTTGGGAAAAAGTGCAGAGAAGAGCAACTAAGATGAGTAAAGGCTTGGAGACTAAAACATAAGAACAGTTGCAGGAATTGGGTATGACCAGTCTAGAGAAAAGAAAGACTAGGAGGTGACAAGATAGCAGTCTTCCAATATTTGAGGGGCTGCCACAAAGAGGAGGGGGTCAACCTATTTTGCAACGCACCAGAAAGCCAGACAAGAAACAACAGATGAATTAGTAAAAAATACTCCCCAATTTGTTGGAAATGTGAGGTGGAACTAGGGTCATATTACCATATGTGGTGGGAGTGCTCAAAAGCCAAAAATTTCTGGCAGCAAATAAGGAGCTGGTTAGAAGAGATGTTAATGTTCAAAATAGAAGTCAAGCCAGAATTTTTCTTACTGGGCGTGACAGATGGCAAATATGACAAAAATGTAACCTATTTAATATTGTATATACTTACCGTGGCAAGACTAGCATTTGCTCAAAAAATGAAAGTGTAAAGAAATACCCTCAGAAGAAGAAGTAATACACAAAATTTACAGCTGTGCAGAGAATGGACCGACTCACTTTAGAACTCAAAGATAAAAGTGAATCAACATACTATGAAGTCTGGAATAAATGTTATAATTGGTTAGATAAGAGGAAGAATGCCAAAAACAAGGGATAATGAATGTCTGGAAATGTATATGTCAATGTATATTAATATATCAATGTACATTGAAGTTGTGAATGTAATATTGGTTTATTAAATACATGCATAGTTGGTTAGGAAGTAAAATACTGTATACTTGATATATAATGAAGTAGGAGATATGTAAATTTGTATATAGAGCAAGGAATAGATTACTTATTAACTTGATTTTGACGTAAATATTACAAACCAGAGACGTTAAGCAATGTCCATTGTTTTACTTTTAAAACTAATAAAATAATAATAAAAAAAGAAAGAAAAAGAAACAACAGATGGAAACGAATCAAGGAGAGAAGCAATCTGGAATTAAAGAGAAACTTCCTTAAAACCTAATTGCTGGAAATGCAATCAAGTACAAGGTACCTACTTCCACGTATGGTGGCTTTGCCCAGAAGTTAAAAAATTCTGGATTAAAATACAAAAATGGCTAAAAGAAATTACACATTATAAAATAGAATTTAAACCTGAACTGTTTCTTCTGGGGATTATTAAAGAAAATTATCCTAAAGGGATAAAATATTTAATTATTCATATAACTACATCAGCTAGAATTGTATTTGCACAAGCTTGGAAAATGTCTACTATTCCAACAGACTGTGCAATAATCCAGAAAATTTTTGAATGAAACGGACAAACTTACTTTAGAATTAAACAATAAGGAAGACTCGGAATATTACTTAACTTGGGATAATTGGTATCAATGGATAGAAATGAAAAATAAGGAATGTATAGAACAAAATAAGATATAAAATGTGATTAAATATGTCGATTAAGTAGGAACATGTGGGAATAGATGAAGAAAGTTAAGAATTAAGTATTGTCGGATTAAATATGTTGATTAAGTAGGAACATGTGGGAATAGATGAAGAAAGTTAAGAATTAGGTACTGTCGGAAAGACGTTATTACGGATGTATTTTTGTTATAGAGGTATTTTAACTTGTATTTTTGGATTTTAAGTGTTAATAAAGGTTTTTCAAGAAAAATAAAAAAAATAAATAAAGAGAAACTTCCTAACAGTGAGGACAATTAACCAGTGGAACAGAAGTTGCCTTTAGAAATTGTGAATGCTCCATTACTGGAGGTTTTTAAAAAGAGGCTGGACAGACAGATTGTATAGGGTCTCTCGCTTGAGGTTGGACTAGAAGACCTCCAAGGTCCCTTCCAGCTCTATTCTGAATTGAAATCCGCATGGCTTGCCCTTTTGAACCCCACCAAGGAGGTCAAAACTAGGATCGCCCCCATTTCCCCCCCACACACACAACAATAGAGGGGGGAGGGAAAGGGAATTTCCCTTGAAGGAGAATGGAAAACCATCGAGACCCTTGGGAATGTGGACTTACCCAACCGTGTTGTTCCGGTTGTTACTGTCACCGAAGATAAGATGTTGGAGGACGTGGGCTTGAACGGCTGCCAGGACCCCGCACGGCCCACCCTGGAAGAGGTCAGGAAAGAACGGAGGAAAACAATACGTGTGAAAATTCTCTGCAGCCTGCATCTCTTTCACCTGGCTCGACGGCCTCTCCCAGCCAGCGCTGTCCTTGGCTGCTTGTCCGGTGACCCTCGTAGATACAATGAGTTCTGATCCTATCAGGTTCTTAATTAAAACTTCAGGTCCCTGAACCTTTTCCTGAAGAAGCCGAGCCAGGTTAGATACGTGGTGGCTTTGTTCTGCGCCCAAAACCGAAAGCATTTGGGTTTTCTGATGGTCAAAATATTAAAGGGGAGAGAAACAGGATGGTTTCAAAGATCTGTTTAAAAGGGCTCAGGTTGTACAGCAAATCTCGGTTAGGATTTGGAGCAGGGGTGAAATGCTCCAGGTTCGGACCGGATCGCCTGATCTGGTAGCGATGGAGGCGAGTGGTTCGGAGAACCGGTAGCAAAAATCCCTGCCCACCCCACCCCCATGCCCAGCTGAGTCGCACAATCATCAGAGGGGTTTTTTTACTTTTAAAAGCATTTTTTTTACAACCTCTTTGGCCAAAAATGCTTTTAAAAGTACAAAAAAAAAAGCCTCCTATGATCGTGCAGCTCAGCTGGGATCGTCAGAGGCTTTTAAAAGAAAAAGAAGATTTTTTTTTCTTCTTCAGCTTGGATCGTCAGAGACATTTAAAAGAAAAAGAAGATTTTTTTTTTTCTTCTAAATGCCTCTGACGATCCAAGCTGAGTTGCCTGATCGTCAGAGACATTTAAAAGAAAAAAAGCCTCTGCCGATCAGGCAACTCAGCTGGGATCGTCAAAGCCTTTTGAAAGCATTTTTTTACAACCTCTTCACCGAAGAGGTTGTAGAAAAAATGGTTTTAAAAGTTTTTTTAAAAAAAAATTGGCCATGCCCACTCAGTCACATTACCCCCCAAGCCACGCCCACAGAACAAATTTTAGATTTCACCACTGATTTGGAGGGTTGAAGGAGGGGCTGGAAGAGTCCCTCCACTTACCAACCCACTCCGGCAGGGCATTTATTGATCCATAAAAAAATGCTTTTGGATGAAAAAAAAAATGGATGCCCAGGTGGCCCTGTGACGTACAATCGAGCCCAACATTTGTTAAGTGAGATAGTTTGTTACATGACTCACTTTATGAACCTTTCTTGCTGGAGTTGTTAAGTGAATCACTACAGTTGTTGGATTAGTCACACCGTCGTTAAGCAAATCTGGCTTCCCCGTCGACTTTGCTCGCCAGGAGGTCGCAAAAAAGGGGATCGTGTGACGCCGGGACGCTGCAACGGTCATAAACATGAGTCAGTTGCTGAGCGTCTGAATTTGGACCATGTGACACCACCTCTGGGGACGCTGCAACGGTCGTAAGTGTGTGGAGCAGTCATAAGTCACTTTTTTTCAGTGCCACTGTAACTTTAAACGGACACTAAACTAAAGGTTGTAAGTCAAGGACCACATGTACAATGGAAAGTGTCTATGGAGATTCTCAGTCATCAGGTCACAGTTGTTGTCCCAAAGGTGTTTTTTCAAGAGGCAACTGGACTTCCTTTGTTTTTCCTTGAAGACATTTCACTTCTCATCCAAGAAGCTTCTTCAGTTCTGATGGAACGGTGGAGGATGAAAATGGCCTCAATGACTCCCACAGAGAGTACCAATGACCAGATGACTGCAAGGAATATAAATCCTTCCATCCTCCACCATGTGGACCTGAGGACAAGCTAAACCTCCAATGGCCTCAATGACTCTCTAAAAGGATGCAAATGACCAAGCTGTCTGCAAGCAGTATACATCCTTTCACTCCGCAACATCCAGTCAGAACTGAAGAAGCTGTTTGGATGAGAAGCGAAATGTCTTCAAAGAAAAACCAGAAATGCCAGTTGCCTTTTGGGGGAAAAAAAGCACCTTTGTACCATGGAAAGTTTCTTGCATTTATCAGCTCCAGTCGGCAAGAACCAATCAGCGATTTGGGAACTGGTTACCTTTTTCTGCACGATGCCGTATTTCAGCTCCGGGTTTTCGTTGAACGTAAAACTCTGGATTTTCCATTCTTCATTGAAGCATCCAAGACTGGAGCCGAAAAGCAGAGTTTTTAGGTCCTTTATTAAAAGAAAAAGAAAAAGTGGGTGAGGCAATAAGAGGAACAGCAAACATGGAAGAAAAAACTCCTATTTTCATCTGGGAAATACATAAAATGACAGGATAGAGACCCTTTTAAACCAGGGAAGACAAAGCTGGAGAACAGATATACAGGTTGTCTTTGACTTACACTAATTCATTCGAAGTTACAATGGCACTGAAAAAAGTGACTTAACGCCATTTTTCACACTGACGACCGTTGCAGCGTCCAGGGTCACATGATCAAAATTCAAAACGCTTGGCAACTGACTCATATTTACGACGGTTGCTATGTCCTCAGGTCACGTGATCCCCCTTTTGCGACCTTCCGATAAGCAAAGTCAACGAGGAAGCCAGATCCGCCTAAGAACTGGGTTATTAATTCAACAACTGCAGTGATTCGCTTAACAACAGTGGCGTCAAGGGCTGCCTACAATCGCCCCTTTAACTCCGATGCCAGAAACGCTGTAATTAATCTAGCATATTCTCGTCATTCCTTCTTTCTTCCTCATAATGTTGTTTCAGCAAAAATGAGTCACGGCATAGCAAAATGAGGGTTGGCTGCAGATGCCTTCTGCACTTCTTAACTTCTTTCAGTTTTTCCAAGTCTAATTTTTGTTAAAACAAAACTTAAGAGAATTGCCGCTCAGAAATCTGTCATTAATGCCAAGTTGCGTTGGCTTATCATTTCTCCAACCGGCAAACACTTCTAATTTTTCTCCCAAAGGTGGCTTTTCAAAAGGCAACTGGGGGAAGGAAGAAGGAAAAAAAAAACGAAAACAAAGGAAGTTTGCCTTTTGAAAAAACACCTTTGGCCATATCTTTGCTTCTATATCAATCTTGTCTATCTTGGATATTAAGTCTATGGACATCCATATCATATCTATTCTTGACCATGACATATGCCTGTTTGAGTAAAATGTATATTGCTTTTCCTTTAAATTTCTTTTCCTCCAAGCATCCTGTAAACTTAATTCGTCTACCATTGTATAAAATGTTTTCGGGAGTGTCTTTCTTGGTTTTTTATTCACTTTTGTAGATTTATAATCTAACTCATTATCAACCATCGCATTAAAATCTCCAATTATGCAACTATCTTCATATTCATATTCTAATATTTTTCGGTGTAGTTTTGCATAAAATTCTTTTTGATTTTCATTTGGAGCATGTATAAACACAAGTAATATTTTTTTATAGTTCATTACAATTTCTACCATTAATACTCTTCCTTCCTCATCCTTATATATTTGTTTGGATTGTATTGTCTGTTTGATGTAAAATGCTACTCCTCTTTTGCTTTGACAAGCCGAAGTTGTATACAATGTCCCTAATTTTATTCGCTACAAAAGTTTTTTGTTGCTTTCTAATATGCACTTCTTGTAAGCATATAATTTCTAATTTTAGCTTCTCTAATTTATTGAATATTTTCCTTCTCTTTATTGCCGAGTTTAATCCATTTATATTCAAAGATATTATTTTAACTTCTTCTTCCATTTCTTATTTATTTATTTGTTTTGTCGATCTAGTCGTTCTTATCTCCTTTTGTTCCTTAACTTCTTTCGCCCTCGCTCCTTCTCTTAACACTCTCTCTTCTCTTAAAAAGAGAATCTCTTTTTAACTTTCACAATTAGTCTTCAACTTAACAACCGCTCGTTTAGCAAATCGTTCGAAGTTGCAACACCTCAGAAGAAAAGAGACTTACAACCAGTCCTCGTGCTTATGGCTGTCACGGGATTCCCCCGTTTTCAAGTGATCAAAATGATTCGCTTAGTGGCCGTTTGAAGTTACCAACGGCAGCAAAAATTGTGACGCTGCATGTCGTGGCAGCATCCCCACAAATTCCGGCGCTCGGCAAAGAACATGGTTTTATGATGGTTTATCGTGCCGAAATTATGTGACTGCCACTTGTGGGGGTCTTTTCAGTGGTCTTCTTGACAAGCAAAATCAAATCCGGAAAGCCAGATTTGCTTAAGGACTTTGTGATTCACTTAACAACTGCAGTGAGTGACTCATAAATCACCTTGCTTAGCAATGGAAATGCTGATCCCAGCTACTGTATTTTTTTATTACTAAAATGGCCCCTGTTCAGCTCGGTTGCAAGGAACATTACAGTAGTGGCCAAAATTGTGGAAACCTTTTGGGAAAAAGTGTATTTTCTAAAACTAGCTAATAACACCACTTTTTTTTGGAGTAGTACCATAAAGTTATATATCAATGGAAAGATAATTTAATCAAGAATGTAATGCAATAACTTTTATGAAGGATTTGCTGTTAGAATAGCAGTTACCGTATAAAGAAGAAAAGTGAAACACGTAGAAAAAGCGAGATAATACAAAAATTATCACCACAGAAAAAAGCGAGATATACAAAAATTATCATCATGTCAGTTAATACTTAGCGGGGTAACGTTTAGCATGAATAATGGCCTTATAATGTCTTCCCATGGAGTGAACCAAGCCTTTTACTTCTGCAGCTGTTATCATGTAAAACCAAGATTGAATGATGGCTTCTATTAACTTGGTTTATTGCAGGGTCGCTTCTGAGTAACAAGTTTCTTTAGCCGGCTTCATAGATTTTCAATTGGGTGAATTGCTATTCCCAGGCTGTTCCAGCAGTGGAATAGGACTATCTTGAAACTCCCAAAAAAAAAAAGTGGTGTGATTAGCCATCAAACTTCAAAAATACACTTTTCCCAAAAGGTTTCCACAATTTTGGCCACTGCTGTAAAGAGAGTGACGGGAACTTTGTAATTTTCAATGTTCCAGCTAAGCATTAGCAAGCTTTAGCTGAAGGGATTTGTTTCTTTAATATTGCTTTATTTGAACAAAGGCCGAAGAGAAGAGCTGAGATAATAAAGCTTTTATAATAGTTGAAAAAGGCTGGATGGAGAAAGAATGAACAAAAATGGGGATAATGCAAAATCGTTCAACCACTAGGCAGGCCTTTGGGGGGTCAAACTGTGGTTTGTTTAATTGTGGTTCTTTGACCAAACTACCATTGGCTGGGGTGACGAGGTCCCCATTATAAAACATAGTTGACAGAACACAATATAGGAAGTCCTCCACTTACAACAGTTCATTTAGTGACGGTTCAAAGTTATGGTACCGAAAAAAGTAACTTATGACCATTTTTCATACTTACGACCATTGCGGCATCCCCTTGGGCACGTGATCAAAATTCAGATGCTTGGCAACTGACTCGTATTTATGACGGTTGCAGTGTCCCTGGGTCATGTGATCCCCTCTGGCGATCTTCTGACGAGCAAAGTCAATAGACAAACCAGATTCACTTAACAACCAAGTTACTAACTTATTTATTTATTTATTTATTGGTTCGATTTATATGTCGCCCTTTTCCGGAGACTCAGGGCGGCTTACAATGCGTTAAGCTGCATTGTAAGTGCAAGTGAATCAACTGCAGTAATTCACTTAACAGCTGTGACAAAAAACCCGAATGTCTCACTTAACAACAGAAATTTTGGGGTCCAGTGGTTGTAAGTCAAGGACTACCTGTAGCTGGATTTTCAGAACTCAGGCTGTCCTCGACTTACAACCACAATTGAGTCCAGAATTCATGTTGCTGTGAGAAATTTGTTAAGTGAGTTTTGCTCCATTTTACAACCTTTCTTGCCGGTTGTTAACTGAATCATGGCAGTGGCTAAATTAGGAACATGGTTGTTAAGTGAATCTCGCTTCCCCATTGATTTTGCTTGTTGAAGGGCCACAAAGGGGGATAATATGACCCCAGGACACTGCAACCGTCTGAATATCGATCATATGATCATAGGGATGCTGCAACGGTCATAAGTGTGAAAAATAGTGATGTCACTTTTTTCATTGCCTTTATAACTTTGAACTGTCACTAAACAAACTGTTGTAACTCAAGGACTATCTGTATTAGCTTCAGCAGTGGTGCAAAGTTTTAAGTTTCTGCATAGCCCTCGTGGAAAGCCTCACATGAAATTCAAAATGGCCCATGCTCCCTGATTTATTTTATTTTTATTTATTTATTTTTATTTTATTTTGAATTTGTATACTGCCCTTCTCCCTGAGGACTCAGGGCAGTGAACAGCCAAGTAAAAACATCAAGTACAAATATTAAAATACAGTTAAAATATATATATATAAATTTGGCCCCATTAATTAAAAATAATAAACAAAACACTTAAAAACACTTAAAAAATTAGGCCATTTAGAAGACAGTCCTTAACTTATGGCCACAATTGAGCCTATAATTTCTGTTGCTAAGCAAGGCAGTCCTTAACTGAGTAGTGCCTCACTTTGCAACTTTTTTCTGATATGGTTATTAATCAAATCACTTCAGTTGTTAAGCGAATCACCCAGTCATTAAGCAAATCTAGCTTGTGAGGATCCAGTTGGGAAGGTTACAAATGGTGATCATGTGCCCCTGGGACAGTGCAACTGTCATAAGTACATGCCAGTTGCCAAGCTTCTGAATTTAGATCACAGGATTATGGGAATGCAGCTATGTTTATAAGTGTGAAAACTGGTCATAACTCGCATTTTTTTCAGTGCCGTTGTAACCTTGAATGCTTGCTAAAGAATAATTTTAAGTCGCGGACTATCTATACAGGCAATTTGTCGATCAGTTTTTACAGGGCAATTTTAGTCAGGAAGAAAGAATTAGAACCAAATTAAGTTCCAGTTAAAATGATTTATTGATCATTCCTATTCACAAGAATCTAGTCAATCAATGGTCAGAAATTTGTCACTAGATAAAAGTCAATGGAATTCAAAAGGGGTTAGACTTAAACCTTTTGTGATAACGTAATGATTCTACACTGATGACTTGCTTGACTCCTCCCCCAGGGTCTATTGCTCTTCTCCTACAATTTGGCACACTTAGCTAAGAACAAAAGAACAAACTAGAAGAACAAAAGCAAACAGAGCCCTTGAGAGTTAGCACAGAGAAAGCTGACCAGATATGTCCTTCAGATTCTGTGAAATCCTTAATAGTCTCTGAGTTTAGTTGTTTGTTTGAAGATGTTTCATGACTGGCTGGATAACATCGTCCGGTTAGTGAATTTGTGGATGCTTGTTGTTTATATACAGTAACTTGCCCTGGCAGCGTTGGCAAGGGAGAGGTTTTCTCCTTGATATTGATTAAGATATTGCTTTCTGCTTGACTATTTGTCTGGTATTAATCCCTGCTTATCTGTTGTTAGCTGCTGGAGAGGGCAGGGATTTTTGGGACTTTTTGTTTCCTCCTTGGCTTTTTATTCTTTCTTTTGAATGGTGTGTAAATATTGTTTATCTTTACATGCCTGTTGATGGTTGATGGGTATGAGTGCCAAACTTCCAGAAATCCCCTATTCCCTTCCCCCCATTCAAATTCTATCCTGTCCTTTGTCAAACTTAATGCACAGCTCACCTTTGCAAGATTGAAATCAATGGGCTTGGTTGTCACTTGACACGTATATAGAGCCAATGGTTCAGGGTCCTCTCCGACATCCTCCCAGCTTTCTTCATCCTCGACATCAACTAAGAGGTGAAAATAAGAGGTCTTGAATGTGGGAACAGTCACGGCAGTAATCTAGCAGCATCTTATGACCTATTAAGAGCATGAAATTTTATTTGTATTTTCTATTTTCAAACCACTCTGTAATTGAAACTCCTTCAATATTCAAGGGTTTGCATTTTAATATTCAAAGTTAAAATAGCCTTTTTCTTCTTGTTTTTTTTTTTTTTAAACTAAAACTTGGTTTTCTTTATCTCCTTGAGATGAAACGCATTGAGGGAAATAGGTAAAATGAAACAGCCATCCTTAACCACAGTTAATATATCACCAGCAGAGTTCGGGCAACACGGATAGCCATAAGGGACATATATGTCCATGGTGATGTCATTTGCACAATAGACTAGGCTGAAAACAAGAACACAGTATGGTTCATGATGTAACATATGCGAGTTCGCTTCTGAAGGGATTTCACGTGGTTATGAATTGAATGGTTGCAAGTCGAAGAGTACCTACTACAGATCCTTTTATCTTGAATTTTCCACGTATCAAGTTCAGGACAAAGAAATAACACAATATATTGGTGTTTCTCAGCCTGGACAACTTTAAGATGAGTCGACTTCAACTCTCAGAATTACGCAGTCAGCAAACAAGTTTTTACCCATCCTCCAAGAATCCCTAACTTAATAACTACTACTACTATTACTACTACTACGTCTTCTTCTTCTTCTTCTTCTTCTTCTTCTTCTTCTTCTTCCTCCTCCTCCTCCTCCTCCTCTTCTTCTTCTTCTTCCTCCTCCTCCTCTTCTTCTTTTCTTCTTCTTCTCCCCCTCCTCCTCTCTTCCTCCTCTTCTTCCCTCCCTCCCTTTTTCATCTTCCTTCCTTCCTTCCTTCCTTCCTTCCTTCCTTCCTTCCTTCCTTCCTTCCTAGACAGAATGTCCCATGCTGAGAAGGGCATTCTGGGAGTTGAAGTCCACCATCTTAAACCTGCCATGGAAGAGGCAGAACCTCAGCAAATATTCCACCGCACAGAACTGACCTAGTTCCAAAATGTCTCTGGGCCAATGTTCCTTCCTGGATGCAGAGGTTGGAGATCTTCTGAAATGAAATAAAGATGGTCAAATCTGGTCAGAGACGTGACTAGATTTAGATGGATTTAACCAAAAAAAACGAACCGAGGGCCAAAACCAAGTTCAAAACATCTGGTGAGCCAATTTCAGAGACCGGGACTTTCGATTTTGAAGGCAGAGCTAGAAAACTTAATTCTCAGGACCTCACATATAATGAAATTTCACCAGGTGGACTTTAACACATGGGATTAATGAAGTAGTAAGTTACCCCTAGAAAGCCTCTTCTGAACAAGGCTACTGGGTTTGAGGATATTAAAATGTTCCGCAAAAACCGGAAAACTTTTCAAAACTTTCCAAATCAATTCTGGCTGTACATTTGCAATTCGTATTTTAACCTTTGTGCAAAAATTGTTGGTCCTTGTTTACTATTGTTATCCTTAGGTTGTCTGAACCACTTCCAAATATTACCTGGTGGGTTTCAGCTCTCATTACCTTAGCAACTAATCTTGTGCGTCAAAATTATCTTTCTTAGTCTCTGTATACATCTTGCCCGAAAGCTGAGTCACGGCCAATGAACTTTTTTCCTTGTGGATTTGAGAGAACTTTCGCTGCCCATCCAAGCAGCTTCCTCAGTCAGAACAGGTTAGTTAGCTACAGAGTTGTTGGGACGTGCCAACTCCCCCTACACAACCCCTGTTGCATTCCCCCAAAGTACAACACCTATGAATTAGAATTAGAATAATATTAGAAATAGAATAACAGAGTTGGAAGGGACCTTGGAGGTCTTCTAGTCCAACCCCCTGCTTAGGCAGGAAGACGTACACCACTTCAGACAAATGGTTATCCAACCTCTTCTTAAAAACTTCCAATGTTGGAGATTCACAACTTCTGGAGGCAAGTTGTTCCACTGATTAATTGTTCTAACTGTCAGGAAATTCCTCCTTAGTTCTAAGTTGCTTCTCTCCTTGAACCTGTACAATATGTTCCTTCATTAGACAGGAGAACACAGAGCCATTCTCTTCATGCTGTCCCAACTGACCTTCGGACACTGGACTGCTTCTCCACCGGTCCAAATCATATCTCGGAATGGGAGTTACAGCTAGTCCTCAACTTACAACTGTTCATTTAGTGACCATTTCAAAGTTACAACAGCACTGAAAAAAAGTGACTGATGACTGTTTTTCACACTTACGACCATTTTGGCGTCCCCATGGGTCACGTGATCAAAATCTGAATACTTGGCAACTGACTCGCATTAACGACGGTTCCAGTGTCCTGGGCTTAACGTGATCCCCTTTTGCGACCTTCTGACAAGCAAAGTCAACGGGGAAGCCAGATTCACTTAACAACCATGTTACTAACTTAACAACCGCACGTGAGTCACTGAACAATTGGGGCAAGAAAGGCCGCAAAATGGGGCAAAGATCACTAAATAAGTGTCTCGCTTAGCGACGTAAATTTTGGCCTCGGTGGGGTCAAAGGTCGAGGACTATCTGTACAGGTAATCCTGGACTAAAAACCACAAATGGGGGTGGGGGGCAGAATTTCCATTGCTAAACAAGGTGATTGCTAAGTGAATTGCGTCGAGTGTTGTGACTTTTTTTTTTTAGCCACGGTTGTTAAGCAAATCACGGCGGTTGTTCAGTGAATCAGGCGGTTGTTAAGCAAATTCAGCTTCTCCCGTTGAGTTTGCTTGCCGGAAGCTGGCAGAGAAGGCCGCAAAGGGCGATCATGTGACCTCAGGATGTTGCAACTGCTGATCACATGACCATGCAGGGATGCTGCAACAGCGGTAAGTGGGGAAACAGTCATAAGCCACTCTTTTTTTCTTTCAGTGCTGTCGCAAAGTCAAAGGGTCGCTAAACAAATGGTTGTAGGTCGAGGACTATCTGTAGCTGTAAGTCAGTTTTTTCAGTGCCATTGTGACTTTGAACGGTCAATAAACATGCAAGTCACAAACCACTTGTATCCTGGGTGTCTGTATCCAATTTGGATATTATTCACCCAAATTACAATTGTTATACCCTATACATCAGGGAGGGAGGGAGGGAGGGAGGAAGGAAGGAAGATAAGAGAGCGAGAGAGAGAGAAAGGAAAGAAGATAAGAGGAAGGAAGGTGAGAGGGAAAGAGGGAAGGAAGGAAGGAGGGAGGGAAGGAAGGAAGGAGGGAGGGAAGGAAGATACAGGAAAGAAGATAAGAGAGGAAGGAAGGAAAGAAAGAAGGGTGGAAGGAAGGAAGGTAGAAAGAAGGAAGAGGAAGGAAGGAGAGAGAGAGAGGAAGGAAGGAAGACAGGGAGGGAGGCAGGTGGAGGAAAAAAAGGAAGGAAGGAAGATAAAAGAGAGAGAGACAGGAAAGAAGAAGAGAGGAACGAAAGAGGGAGGGAGGGAAGGAAGATAGAGAGACAGGAAAGAAGATACGAGAGGAAGGAAGGAAGGAGGGAGGGAAGAAAGGAAGAAAGATAAGAGAGAGAGGGACAGGAAAGACGATAAGAGATGAAGGAAGGAGAAAGGGGGAGGGGAAAGGAAGGAACAAGAGAAAGGAAAGAAGATGAGAGAGAAAGGAAGGAGAGAGAGGAAGGAAAGAAGGAGAGAAAGGAAAGAAGATGAGAGAGAGAGAGGAAGGAGAGAAAGGAAGGAAGGAGAGAAAGGGAAAGAGAGCGAGAGAAAGAAAGGAAGGAAGATAAGAGAGAGAGAAAGAGAGAAAGGGAGAATGAGGAGGGGAAGGGGAGCAAAGGGCAGCAGTAAATGATGAAGAGAAGAACAGGGAAAAAGGCAGGGGGAAAAATCTAAATGTGCCATTTCTAAGATCCCATCGAGGTAACAGAAATCCACAACTTTGCTGATGGCCAGGAAAATATAAGGAGTAGATTCAGGAAAAGATGACTCAAGATTGAAAAATAACGCGATGCACAACCCAAGATGGAGACTGATTGACTGGTTATTATGGATGACTCAGGGGTGAAGGAACAGCCCAACATGATGTGGAAAAGTCCCATCATGATGAGCTGGAGGTAAAATGATTGAGACTCAATAAAAATAAATGTTGGTGTGAGATGCCACCCATTTCTAATCCTGGCGACGTAGGCCGTAATCTAGAAATTCAGACTTTCCTTGAGGATGTCCGTTTCTTAGCTTAGTTCTGTTTTTTTGTTTTTTCTTCTTCATTACAAGGATAAAATTAAGGATGGTGTACAAGAAAAGAAAGATTCAGACAACCATAATAGATCTGGAGGGGACCTCAGTGGTCATCTAGTCCAACCTCCAGTGATGGAGCATCCACAACTTCTGGAGGCAAGGCTAGTGTACTGGTTAATTGTCCTCACTCCAGGAGGAGGAGGAGGAGGAGGAGGAGGAGGAGGAGGAGGAGAAGAAGAAGAAGAAGAAGAAGAAGAAGAAGAAGAAGAAGAAGAAGAAGAAGAAGAAGAAGAAGAAGAAGAAGAAGAAGAAGAAGAAGAAGAAGAAGGGCTTAGGACCAGGGTATCTACGAGACCGCCTTCTGCCACCAGTAGCCTCTCACAGACCAGTACACTCCCACAGAGAGGGGCTCCTCAGGGTGCCGTCGGTCAAACAGTGTCGACTGGCAGCTCCCAGGGGGAGAGGCTTCTCTGTGGGGGCACCTGCCATCTGGAATGAGCTCCCCCTGGAGATACGGCGGATCCCGGATCTGGGCACTTTCCGCAGTACTCTTAAAACTTTCCTTTAAAACTTTTCTTTTCCAGCAGGCTGGCCTGGCCTAACCTCTTTTTTAAATCGTTTTAAATTTTAAATTTGTTTTATAATTTGGGGTGTTTTAAATTTGTTTTTGGGCCATGGTATTTAATATATTTTAAATGGTGTTTAACATTTGTATTATGTGTAGTTTATCTTGGCTGTTCACCGCCCTGAGTCCTTCGGGAGTAGGGCAGTATATAAATATTATTATTATTATTATTATTATTATTATTATTATTATTATTATTATAGTTGAGCGACTGTGGAAAAAGAAATCATGTGTTGTCCCGATTGTAATTGGAGCCCTTGGAGCAATACCCAAAGGGCTACCCCGCTATTTAGAAATTCTAAATTTGCCAGACTTGAACATTTTGGCTCTACAAAAAACCACCTTACTCGGAACAGCTTACATCCTCCGACGATACCTTAACAGTTCCTAGGTCCTTGGTTAGGACTCGAGCTGCTGAGCTATTAACCAGCCTCAAAGGCTGTGAATCTCACTAAAGATCAAATAAATAAATAAATAATAATAATAATAATAATAATAATAATAATAATAATAATAGAGGAGGAGGAGGAAGAGGAGAAGAAGAAGAAGAAGAAGAAGAAGAAGAAGAAGAAGAAGAAGAAGAAGAAGAAGAAGAGAAGAAGAAGAAGAAGAAAGAAGAAGAAGAAGAAGAAGAAGAAGAAGAAGAAGAAGAAGAAGAAATTTTGTAATCACCACATTACAAAAAAGATGTTGAGACTTTGGAAAAAGTGCAGAGGAGAGCTACTACGGTGATTAAAGGCACAGAGGCTAAAACATACGAAGGACAGTTGCAAGAATTGGATATGGTCAGTCTCAAGAAAAGAAGGGGTGACATGATAGCAGTATTCCGATATTTGAGGGGCTGCCACAAAGAGGAGGGGGGGTCAACGTATTTTCCAAAGCACCAGAATGCAGGACAAAAATCAATGAATGAAAACTAATCAAGGAGAGAAGCAACTTGGAACTAAGGAGAAACTTCCTAACAGTGAGGACAATTAACCAGTGGGACAGAAGTTGCCTCCAGAAGTTGTGAGTCCTTCAACGACGAAGGTTTTTAAGAAGAGAATGGACCTATCTGAAATGGTAAATACTTGAGGAAGGGGTTGGACGAGAAGACCTCCAAGATCCCTTCCAGCTGTCTTCTGATTGATTGATGTTTGCCCTGCCCACATTTCTCCAATGGACTTAGCTGCCTCATATTTGACCATTTCCGGGGCCCTTTGAGCCCTTCAGTTGATGCTATTTTTTTTCTGCCTTTTGCAAAGTATTGTTCTCCTCCTCCTCCTCCT